CACCGTGAGGCGCGTGTGTCTTTGTAACGGGGTGTAGCGGCACATGAATCATAGGACGATTCGAATCGAGGTTGACCCATGTTGTTGTTTTGCCTCGGAGTATTAACACCGTTATGATATACGAAATGTAATAACAAACAAACTCCGGACAAAACAATATAACCGCTGCGCACAGCCGTCAACCGAAGTCGAATTTAAACTTTCCGGTACTCCCCCGACCAGTATATATAAACGAACACGATCTTCAGGAATCAGTATCGAGCATTCTTATAGCGAATTAGTATCGAGCGAACGTAAGCATTACCTTGTATACGCATATCGAGCAACACTGAGAGACTGACGACTAACTCTGTACTGCAAATAATTTTACATACATTTCACTACACTAAGTATCTGTTACGTCGGGCGATTCTCTACCTGGACCAGGCCATACACCGCGGGCCAGACGGACACCAGATGTCCGCTCATCCTTACGGCGTACCTTCAACAGCCTCAAGGACCCGTCATAAATCCCAGTAATTTGCTAGCTAATGTCCTTCAGACCCAACAAACATTTGTTTTACGAATCATTTCTAAAGGCTATTGTCTACTACGGCTTGACAAGGGAAAGTTAGTTTCTCACGTACGATGCTTCCTAATAGCAACTTTCTATCGAGGGCGGCTAAGACCCTTTCTAGTCCACCAATCTCCGTTTATCCAATCACAAGCAATGCATACTGCCCTCACTTTCCTGACCAAAAACGTCATGAACAAATCCGATGGTCCCGTGCGCTAGACACACCCATCGCCAACTTTCCTCCGACATAGCATCGTCGCTGTAACTTACTTCTCCTACGACATCGGTCAAGTCAACTACTTCTCCTACGACATCAGGAGAGTCAAGTTAACTACTTCTCCTACGACATCAGGAGGGTCAACTCTACTTCTTCTACATCATTAGAAAGGTCACCTACTTATTCTACACAGGCACGTAATTCGAGTCTCGATCAAACATCTGCTTAAGTCAGTCTTCACCAAGGATCAACTCAATTCAGTCAACAAATCGAATACAGTCAGTCGACACAATACATTATCGTACGCGAAAACACGAACAGAGTCTCAGGTCGTACTCCCTCGTAGTCAGCTTATATCAACCATTCATTTTGTATTACACCGAAGTTGTTAGATTGTGCAAATATATAATAACCTGTTAATAGCGTTATCTTCAATTTAACTACCCTTATTATCCCACAAGAAATAAGGGATCGAACGATTCGTGGCGTCGATTAGTCAATCGTAACGGGAATTTACTACTCCCGTTGGCACGCTTCTTCGAGATCGCATCTCCCCACGAACGTGCGAATTTACAGTATCCAACTCGTCTAGTCATTAATCAACAACACGTTTAATCGTCCTCCACAGGGCCATTTTGATGGCAAAGAGACGGGCCTGGGACGAGCTCCTGGTCACCTTGGATTCCGACCCACGGGGGCCGGAACGGGGGCCGCC